CAATAACAACATTTGATGTTTACCAAGTTCCATGAGTGCTCTTTTACTTGGGACTATATAAATATAAATTCATGACTTTGTCTTTACCAAAAGTGGTGGTATATGTTCAGCAAGGATTTTAGTAAAATTAGGTGTCATTACAGGTGTAGAACCCAGTTAAGAACACACCGTTTCTTATATTAGCTTCTTTCATGTTATCTGTAGCCGCACTTTATACCAAGTGATCTAATTTTTAAATACTATTCTTCGTCATGTGTACTTAGAACTGATGCCCTCTAGATTGCAAGCTCACTTGGCACATTATTTACTAATTGTTTCTGTGAACATGTGCTGTTCACCTCTTATTTGCTGTTTTCTAAAATTATAAAATCCTGTGAAATATCTTGGAGCTATATAAACGTTAATAATAATGTCCTATCACTAGGATACTATTCCATTTAAAGATATATATATATATATATATATATATATACATATACATACATATATATATATATATATATATAGTCATTTGTCATAGTCATTTGTAAGAGGTTAATGCCTTGGTGCTTCACACTCTGTTGGGAAAAGTGTCTGATAAATATTATTGTGACTGTCTGTTACTGTTTGTTTTGAAGAACCTGTGGATTATGTGATTTAGTGAGTTCTCGGGTACAGTATACACGTTATGCTGATTAAATGGAATACGGGTATAAATAGAGCAGTATGTGACCCCATGTGCTGGGAACGTAGGCTGTCTTGAAAGCACTGTGTGTTGGTTTCTTCAGTAACTGCCCATGTTCTTGCAGACATTACCACTTATCACAATTGCAAAAGTCTATTAGTATAAGATTACGCATAACACAGATGCTCTTTACTACGGCTGACGTGCAGACTGCAGGCTACCCAGTCTGCACAATAATCCGCCTTGTGCCTTTGGAAGAAAATGATGAAAAGCAAAGCAGTTATTAACAGGGGGGTTGTTAGAAATAAGGATAAAATGGAAAGGGGAATAGATAGAATTCTCAGATAGCCATACATGCATTTCAACTGCTTCACTGATAACACTGTAACACCACTTGCAACATCATCCAGCTCTTTCTAGGTTCATTCTAGGCTGATGGCATTAAAGAGTAAACCTCCCTGGATTTGTTTGCACACAGATTATTTAATATATACATTATGAACAGGTGTACACGGTTGGCATTAGTGCATAATATAGTAAGTATAGTAAATGCAGTCATTATAATAGGATGCACTTTTATATGCCTGTAGTATTTTTGCTCCTTTATTCATGACAATTTTCTTTTAAATTCAGTCTTTTTTCTTGTTCACTGTCTCTTAAAGGTACACTATAGTGATCAAAATAACTTTAGCTTAGTGAAGCACTATTGGTGTATAGATCATGTCCCTGTTGTCTCACTGCTCAATTCCCTGCCATTTAGAAGTTATATTACTTTGTTTATCCAGCCCGAGCCACACCTCGCTGCATTTGAGTTATACAGTCCTCCTGTACACTTCCTGTAAAGAATCATGCAATGTTTACACTTCCTTTAATGTAAATTCTGTTTAATTGAGAATTTCTTATCACCTGTTCTGGTAATAGCTTGCTAGACCTTGCAGGAGCCTCCTGTATGTAAATAACGTTCAAATTACAGAGAGGGTGACCAGATTTTAGAAATAAAAAAACTGGACACACATCAGCAATACAAAAATCATGATGTGACATATCCCATACTGTCTTTGCTGTATGTCAGCATACTTATCACTCTAAAGCACTGGTTCCCAGCCTTTTTGACCTAAGTACCCCTTGGTAGCCCATATCTATAAATTGTACCCCTCATAATAGCGAAATGTTTGTAATTATATTTGCTGTTATTTCAAATTTATGTTTCTCTCTGCCCATTGTCTCTTTTTCTCTGCCCCAGGCTCTCTCTGCTTCTCCTGTGCCCTAGGCTCTCCCTGCTTTTCCTCTGCCCCTTGCTCCTCCTGCTTCTCTTCTGTCCCAAGTGTGTGTGTATATCTATATATACACACAAACACACCCACACACATGCAGATAAACAGATAGAAACATTGACACACATCCAGACGCACAGATATGAACACTAACACACACCCACAGATGCACAGACATACAGAAACAAACTCTGACATACATACAGATACAGACACACACAAAATCACAAAGACACACAGATAGAAATGATGATACATAATCAAACACTGACACACAAACAGACATACTTACACACTTGTAGATACATAGACACACATGTAGTTGCACATACACACTGATACACACATACAGATACACACACTGAAACACATGCAGATACATAGATATACAGATACAATCCCTGACACATACAGATACACAGATACAAACAGTGACACACAGACATACATATGCACACACTGACATATACGGATACAATGACACACACACAGATATACAAACATACTGATACACACATTGACATATACAGATACACAGATACAAACAATGATACACGTGCGGCTTAGCGGATGTATGAACCGGAAGGAAGTGACAGGCTTGCACTTTCTCCTATCTCTCCCTGCAGCGAAGAAAGGTCCAGTTGCGCTGTTAAGGTGCCTCAGCGCACAACCCTTATGGCCCATGTCTATTGGGTGGCTGTAGTTCCCAGCCTGTGCGGTGAGACTGCACTGGCAGGGTGGCCATTACCGATTTCTTTTTGCGTACCCTCAGGGGGAATCGGTTGTACCCCTGAGGGTACATGTGCCGTGAGTTGGGAACCCCTGCTCTAAAGCAATGAAAACACCAGCAAGCTGTAGATTATCTCATTACATTTACTAAAGCTGCAAGACATATCGCCACCTCCTAACTCTGAGCCCCTCCTCCACCCAACTCTGAAGAGTATCTCACCCAGATTGACAGGGGACCTGCAGATCATTTTACCCCTTCACTCACAAGGACATATACCTGATAGCCTGCTGCCCCAGCAGAGTCAGTCTGTCTGTCTACACGATTTATTTACTTCCGTCTCTCCTACTTCTTGTTACACTATCATAAATGGTAATTTCCGTTCTGCAGATGTTCATTGGAGCATCAAGGGAAATGTAGTTCTGCCGGCTCTGTGGTGTAATAACAGATAGCTGTGCTCATGCAGTGACGTGAATTGAAGTTGACACCTGTTTTATACATTCAACAGTCAGGGGTAGCACTCGGCAGCCAAATTTAAGTAGGGCAAATCTGGCATTATTACTACTAATAGTTGGTCATGCACTGGTTGCGCCAGGAACTGGTTGCGATAAGAAACCTTATCGGGAAGCTGGGCCAAATCACCAAATCACCAAAAACTGGCACTATTCTGGTAAAACCGGGATGTCTGGTCACCCTGATTTCAGAGCAGGAGATAAAAAATTTGAATGTACGTTACATCTAAATGTTTTCATGTAGGCTATGTGAGTCACGGCCAGGGGAGGTGTAGCTAGGGCTGCATAAACAGAAACAAAAGAAATGTATCTCCTAAATGGCAGAGAATTGAGCAGTGAGACTTCTGAGACATGATTTATACACAAAAACTCCTTTATTAAGCTAAAGTTGTTTTGTTGACTATAGTGTCCCTTTAAACCCTTTTTTTCTTTTATCAAATATCAGGTTTTTCCCTATAGTATATGTTGTCTGCCTCGCACATATGTTGTGTCTGACCTGATGATTTGAATTTGTGCAATAAAAACACTTGATGTTTAGTTCCATGAGTGCTCTTCTATACAGGGGTATATATGCCCTCCCAACGTACAAACTAAATATTTCCATCTATTTTTTAGTGTCCCTGCATTTCAGTCCTTCTCGATATTATTATATTATAATATATTATATATATATATCAGGAATATTTATAAATAAAAGGAAATATACCCCTGCATCAATATTACAAAATAACATATATCAAGAGAGGCACTCTATCACAGGAACATTGAATGCACCTAGTTTTCATTTAGTCCTTTGGGGGATACTGTGTCCAAATGTTGTATCCAATAAGTTTCACGTTGAGGCAATAATCTAGATCTGTCTCCTCCACAAGGTGGTGGAGGAATATGATCAATCGCTCTAAAACGATGAGTAGGGAGACCAGGGCCGTCTTTAATAACGAATGGACCCTGGGCAAGTGTTTGCTTGGGCCCCCTGTGCCCTGCCGCTCTCGCCCCTCACTCCCTGGTATGCAATCACGGCATCCATCCCAACGCAGTGGCGGTACTAAAGTAGAATGAATTTTATTGGGACCCCCAATTGCAAGGTTGGACTAAAGGTAGAACCCCATCTGTCGTGCAACTCCAACAATGCTTTGACAGCTGGGACTCTACCAATTTCCCATGCTTGCAGGGTTGTATTTAGCACTGAGCCATGTTAGTATGTTTGAATGTAAGCATGTGTTTGTATGGAGTATGTTTGTGTGAATGTGTTTGTATGTGGTACTGGAGTTTGAATGCAAGTGTGCATTTATGTGTAGTGTTTGTTTTTGAATGTAGGAGTGTGCTTGTATGTAGTGTTGACGTTTCAATGCAGGAGTGTGTTTTATATGTAGTGTTGAAGTTTGAATGGAGGGGTGTATTTGTATTTAAAGTTGCGGCTCAGATGCACAGGTACACACTCTGACGCACAAGCAGATACACAGATACATACACTGACTACATACAGATAAACAGGCACATACACTGACAGACACACTGACACAGGTACATATATTGACACACACACAGACACATACACTGGTAGACGTACTGACAGACATACTGACACACATACAGACATACTGACACACAGACACATATACCGACATACTGACACACACACACAGACACATACACTGATCAACATACTGACACACATACACTGACAGAAATACTGACACCCACACACTGACAGATATACTGACACCCACATACACTGAGAAATACTGACACACACACACAGGCACATACACTGACACACACAGACTGATATACTGACACACACACACACAGACATACTGGCACACAGACAGATATACTGACACATGCATACACATGCACTAACAGACATACTGACGCACTGACAGACATACTGACACATACACATACTGACACACACAGATATACACACACATATATACTGACACACAGACAGACAGACATACTGACACACACACACAGACATACTGACACACACACACTAACACACACATACACTAACACACAGATACACTAACACACAAACACACACACACTACACATACACTAACACACACACACACACACTAACACACATACACAAACACACACACTAACACACATACACTAACACACAAACACACACACTAACACACATAAACACACACATACATACACTAACACACACATACACTAACACACACAAACACACACACTAACACACATACACTAACACACACATACATACACTAACACACACATACACACAAGCACACTTTTTTTTAAAATGTAATCCCCCCAGCCTCCTTACCTTTTGGAGTGCTGGGTTGATTCCCTGGGGTCCAGTGGTGCTGCTGGGCTCCTGGGCGGGTGGCCGGTCGGGCAGGAAGGCGGGCGCGCGAGGGAACACTCACTGCTTCCTCTTCAGCTCCCTTGCGCGCCGCGTAGGGATGCCGGCGCCGGAAGATGACGTCATCTTCCGGCTCCGGCATCAGTGCGGTGCGTGAGGGAGCTGAAGAGGAAGCAGTGAGTGCTCCCTCACTCGCCAGCCTGCCCGACCGGCCACCCGCCCGCCGGGGTCAGCAGGGCCTACGGGGCAGGTGCCTCGGGCCCCCCAAGAGAAACTGGGCCCGGGGCAGCTGCCCCGTTTGCCCCGCGTTAAAGACGGCCCTGAGGGAGACAATGTTGTTCAGCCAGAAAATGTTTGGCTAGTGGTTTCTCTGCTCGTGAATCAAGATAAGAAGTTGAAATGCCTGAGTGATTACCTCTAATGCGGTCTCTAATTGTTAAATGTGTCTTCCCCACATAGGATAGTCTGCATTGGCAAGTGATTATGTATACTACATTTATCTATGTATAAATATACACACATATATATATATATATATATATATATATATACACACCCCTTTTCTTTCTACCTTTACTTGAGCGGACGATGGCAAGAACTCTGTCTTTGTAGCCTATGAAATGGTGCAAGAGGTCTGTTTTTCTCCGGATTTGTAGAGGTACTTTATAAGAGGGAGAGGCCTGATTCGAGATAAGTAATTTTATCAGTCGAACAAGCAGTAGCCTAGGGAATAATAGATTTTGTAATAGGTTTTCTCAGGCCAGTTGAAGCCTGAAGCTAGAGAAACCACCTAATGAAAAGCAGAGTGAATTCAGAGTCTGTTTGTGGTGATTAAACTAGAGTGTGGGGCAGATGAAAGCCTATGGGTCAATATGTCCAAGTGAAAAATAATTTTGAAAAGATCCATTTGTCTTCGTCTGCTGTTAGTTGCGTTTTAGTCTGCTTCTAGGTTTCTTGTATTGAAAAGTTAGTTTCATATCTGATCATTTACCAGATATAGGATTAAAAATTATTCAGAATAAAATTGCTACATTTCAGGAAATATCCTCAATTATACAATGTATTTGTCATGATTTTATGCCTGTCAAGGTTAGATAGCAGCTCAGGTAACAAGAAAATAGAGATTCTTCGGCTATACAGAAAGTATGACAGCACCTCAAGGCAAGCCCTGGGTGCTAGTTAAGGGTAGGAATCAGTTTTAGAACCTTTTGTTTTCAGAAAAAAGTTTACAATTTGTTTAGGGGTTTTGAACAGAGGTTTAGGTAGTAATAACATGGAGAGGATCTCGAAGTAGAGTGTACTACATTGGAGGTATACACTCCTCTTCTGTTATCACATGCGTTAATATGCAATGTATAAATCCTATGTCTCTCCTTCTTAATTTAGCAAGAGATGTACGGTGTAGATCTCCACCTCTTCTCTATCACAGATGGATAATGTGAGAATATCATGTTCTCTTCCATAGGAAGCAGAGATGAACGTGTGTCCTTACTTGTAAGCCATATAATGATGGTCTGTTGAGTCCCAAACGTATGTCCTTTTCTCAAATATACTGTGTGATGTATAATATATATTCAGATCTATTAAGATTGTTCCATCATACATCAAAAATATTAATGACACACTAGTAACTTAATCAATTATCCTCTGATACAGAGATAGGAAACCTTCTGCACTCCAAATATTGTGGAAAACATCTCCTATAATGCCATTACAGCCATAGTGCTGGCAGATAATCATGGGAGCTGTAGAAATCTAATGTAAAATCTGAAGTGCCAAAGGTTACCCATTATTATGGAAAATCCATTATTTGTAGGATCTCTAACCCTAGAATACTGCTTCAAAATTCTGTATCTTGTGTTAAAATAATACTTTGTAGTTCTGGAGCTAAATGTCTGATCTAAACATTACTCTTCTGTGGACATCATGTAGGCAGACTAATAGACAAAACATTCTATATGAAGGCTAAATGTCATTCTATAAATTCATGACTTTGGCTTTACCAAGCATGGTGGTATATGTCCAGTGGATGATTTAAGTAAAATGAGGTGTCATTACCTGTGTAGAACCCAAGTAAGAACACACATTTTCTTTCATTAGATTATTTCATTAATTATATTCACACTTTATCCTCAGTGATCTAATTTTGAAATACTATTCTTCGGCATGTGTACTTAAAACTTACCTCCTCTAGATTGCAAGCTTACATGGCATAATATTAACTGAGTGTTCCTGAAATGTGTTGTTTGCCTCTCACTTTCTGTTTATTGCTGTTTGATAAAATAAAAAAAAAGTCCTGCGAAATGTGTTGGAGCTATATAGATGTCAATAATAAAAATGCCCTGATAGTGTCTGATTTATCACTGGGATACTATTCCATTTAACCCCTTAAGGACACATGACATGTGACATGTCATTATTCCCTTTTATTCCAGAAGTTTGGTCCTTAAGGGGTTAAAGAGGGAAACCTTACAATCAGAATTTTCTATCTATTGTTAAATATAGTAACTAGTGAGCTGTGCATTTCCCAGTGAAATAACATCTTTCTTCTAAATCTTTAGCATTCCGAGGTAGTATTGCTGAAGACACAAAAGTTTCCTAGATCAATTCTTTGTAGAAATCTTGTATCAATTATTTTGGAATGGAAGTCTGAGAAAGAAGCAGACTGGAAGTTTCGTTACAGTCTAGCGCAATAAGTCTGGTTTCAGGAATTTGCTTTGGTAAATAATTCTGCTGTGAATTTTTAAAACTTGTTATACTCCTTCTTTGTTCTTATTTACAGGCTTGTTTATCTGCTTTCAAAAGATTTCACTCTGCTACAGCTAATTGACGCAGTGGCTAACCTCTGACATTGCAGCTGCAGCAAAAATAGAGGTCAATGAAAAGTGCTAATAAAGTTTGTGTTTAGGTCGACATGTAATTATTAACATTAAGAATCTCTCCCAACCAATTTCCCCTTAATGACTGCATTTCTTTTCTCATCTACTCAACCCAAAAATAGTTCTATACCATATATATTCTATACCATATATATATATATCTCAGAAAAAAATATCTTAACATTTCTACTAATTGGCACTGATTTCTAACCTGTATATCTTTGTATTTTTCATTATGTGTTTGATCCTGATAAAGGACTGAAGTGGCCAAAACGTTGATCGCTTGTAGAGACCACTTTGTGATGAAATGTACCAAATAAAGCCACAACAAACAGACTTGTTTGTGATTGCTACAAAATGATTTCTGAGATATACCCTATGCAGTATTGCACCCAGGCATTATATATTTTGTGTATCTATTGATTGGGATAAGAGCCAACATTTTAAATTATTTTTATTTATATATATATATATATATATATATATATATATACATATATATATATATATATATATATATATATACTCCATTATTTAACTCCTTTGCTTAATTGCTGAGTGAAAGGGGTTAGACGGTCAAATCCATTGAAGAGCCTGCATCACAAGGGACCAATTGATCTCGTCACAGCCATTGATGGATTAGATTACATTCATGCCCGTGATCAATAACCACAATGAAGTTGTATTTTTATAATGGCCAGGCAGATACTTGCTACAACCCATGACAATATTCCATCATTTTAAATTTGTAACATTCTGAAGCATTTGAATCACCGTTTCCCATTTAATCCTATCAGTTATGTAACAATGAAATAAAAAGATATAAAAAAAAATATGTAAGTCAGGCAAACAAATAGTCTGGTGCAGTGTGACATCCTGCCACTCAAAGGTGAGGTGCGCATGTACCAAGTTAAAATGGGCCATGTATATATTATTCCATTATAATTTTGTCAACAAATTAGTATTAAAAAACCTTCTCTTGTTTGCATAGAAAATAATAATGATTAACAGGGATTTGCAGTACCCTTACAATCTAGAGGATAATGAGGCAGGTAACACACACCTTATCGGGGAGCAATCAGAGAGTACCTCCTTAAATGAAGACACTGGAAGAAGTGCTTTCAATCGGAATTTTAGTTTGGCAGGAACTATCTGGAAGCCTTTTTGAACAAATGCATTTTAAGAAGGTGTTTCAAAATGACAGAGATGAATAGAGATTGAGGTGTTTTTCCTATGTTACATATATACACTGATCAGCCACAACAGGAAAACCACTGATAGGTGAAGTGAATAACATTGATTAGTTACAATGGTACCTGTCAAGGGGTGGGATATGTTAGGCAGCAAGTGTTCAGTCAATTCCTGAATTATTTTTGTTGGAAGCAGGAAAATGGGCAAGCGAAAACATCTGAGTGATTTTGACAAGGTTCAAATAGTGATGGCTAGATGACTGGGTCAGAGCATCTGCTAAATGGCAAAATGAACATCAAATCCGATCCATGAGCTTAAAGGATCTGCTGCTAATATCTCTACCGCAGAACATGTTCAGAGATCTTGTGGAGTCCATGAGAGGGACTTGCACAATATTAGGCAGGTGGTTTTAATGCAGTAACTGATTAGTATTTATATTATATAGGGTGACCAGATTCACCATGTTTACAGGGACACATATAACTTTGTCATATTTATGAAAACGCATGAAAACAGTGGTCCTGCAGTGTGTATAATGCATATTCTGCAGGATTCTTCATTGTCTAATTGCTTAATCGTATATACCGTCTTCTGAATTCTACATATTACAGGGCTTCCCTTTGCATGTGTGCCCATCAATATGTATATATAGATGTCTCAAAAAACATGGCGGATTAATATTTTAATTATTATAAAGTTAAAACATTTTTGATACATTCACCTTTATACTGCACTCCAATTT